TGTTTGAAGCCAAGGTAAGACATGTGCAGCTTGAAAAGTTTTACGTTTTCGACTTTGTGCACCACTATAAGGTCTCCTCCTAAATAGTTTCTGATTCATAATTTTTTTTTTTGACTTCTAATTTACAATTTTTCGACGGATTTACGATTTTTTAGTTTCGGCAAGAATCAAAAGCCAGAAGACTCGATTTTTTGATCTATAAAATCTGCCGAAATTTGTAAGCAACGCAAAAAAACTAGAACACATAGTGATCGGAAAATTATTCCTGAATTCAAGGCTTTGTAAACGGCCTAGCATTTCAGACATGGATTCCATGATACCAAGTTCGTGCAGTGTGTAGTTCTAAAGTTCAGATATTTAACCACACAAACAAATGCATACCCATATTGCGTTAGTGCTTTTTTCTTCAGTGACGCATCGCAAAAATGCGTAAAAATGAATCGGAGCAGAAAAAAAACTTACGAAGTGAGCTTGAAAATGCGTAGCAATCGAAGAGCCCGCAAAACAGAGATACCGAATGAGCCGCCTTTCAGTTCCGCCCAAATCACTTCGAAGGCACTGCCAACAATGACAATACAGTCGAAACGATTGAACTTCGATGCGAAATATACGCGGTGGCCCATTGCGAACAACTTCATGAGCATCTCGCACACAAAAATCCCAAGAAATACATATTCCGCGTACTCTGCAATCGTATAACGGCAATGCCAACCGAAAAAAAATTAAAAATAAAATCACAGAAAAACCCAGGCTGGAACGCACCAGGCGAGCCGGTGCAATCATGCCTTTTTGCATCAAACTTTGAAGTGCTCCATCATTATTTCCCTGTCCTTACCTCACCTCCTCCACTCGCTGTTCTCGCTCCTCCCCCTTCCCCCGAACCCGCCCTGGATATCCATGTTCTCCAAGCGGTGATATTGTGCTGCATTATACAGCACGATTACAAAGCGGTATTCTGTGAGTAAGGTACCGTGAGTCGAAAGCCCCTGCTGAGCGGTTTAACGCTCTTCACTTTGAGCTTATTCATGGTGTAGAGCGGTCTGACCCTCTACACAGTGGGGTTGTTTGTGGTTGAGGGGTGGGTGGTCTTCCGTGGTGGTAAGATGTGGGCG